TTGACCTTGAGTTTGGGAGTTGTAGTTCACCTATATCCAGAGAGCACTGTGGACTCATGCCATGGTGGATCTTGACGAATCTTGGCATGAATACTCAATATGCCCAAATGTGAACACTGGTGGAGTCTGGGGGAAATAGATCTTGACATTTGGGAGTTGTAGTTGCTGGGATTTATAGTTCATTACAATCAAATAATATTCTGAACTCAACCAATGATAGAATTGGCTCAAACATCCCACATGGAATCCCCATGACCATCAGAAAATACTGTGTTTTCTTATGGTCTTTGGCGACCCCTCTGACACCCCCTCGCCACCCCCTCAGGGGTCCCGACCCCCAGGTTGAGAAACACTGCTCTAGAACATGGCCATATAGCCCGAAAAAACCTACAACAACCCAGAGTCTGGATGGCCATCTGCCAGGAGTACTTTGATTGTGCTTTCTTGCATGGCAGGGGGCTGGACTGGATGGCCCATGTGGACTCTTCCAACTATGTACTATGATTCTATGATTCTCCTTCTCTGGTTTTAAACCATTCATCCAATTACAAGTAACTAATTAATTGTTACTAGCTGCTTCCAAGCTCTTTGCCTTCATGTGAAAAGGAGTGAGAGAGGAATGGCAGTTCTGAACAGAAAGCAACAGAAAGGGAAGAGTGTGCTTTTCCATCATCAGTCTCATGAAAATGATGTTGGGTTTTCAGAGTGAAAAAAATAGGAATCAGTCCGATGGGAGGGTTGGTGTTTTTGTAAGCACTTTCTAGTTCAGCTTTCAAGTCCTGATAGCTCTTCTCACATATTTTATACTCCAACTCCCACTATTTCCAGATGGAATAATTTTATCGTGTCAGTATCAACTAGACAATTGTATTACATTTTAAGCAAATTTTTAACAAACAGACAAAACAGAGTTTGCAAGCTTGGTAGTTGATTAAATGTCCTTTGACCAGTGTCTGGCCACTTGGAGTGCCTCTGGTGTTGCCACAAGAAGGTCCGCCCTTGTGCATGTGGCAGGGCTCAGGTTGCATTGCAGCAGGTGGTCAGTGGTTTGCTCTTCTCCACACTCGCATGTTGTGGATTCCACTTTGTGGCCCCATTTCTTGAGGTTGGCTCTGCATCTCGTGGTGCCAGAGCGGTCTGTTCA